ATATCATTCCTAATGTTGAAGTGAACCACTCATTTTAAATCAACTGTGAAACAGTATTAATGATTTTTAAACCTCAGCAGATTTTTGATCATACAGTTAAATGCCTATTTACGAAGTAAGTGTGCATTTAGTCTTCTGTCTGAATGAGGAGTAGTGATGTCGGTCGAAAGTCAGAGACAAACAGAGATGAGTTATTAGAGCGAAGTGTCTTGTTTTTAAAACTAGCAGACAGTAAATAACTTCAACTGGCACCTGTGTTTGTCTCAACTCGTCATAATATTTCTCTGTCTGTACTAACCGTTCGTAAACATTCCTGCTGTCTCTTGACTTCTAGTGACCCTTTTGACATAACTAGAACCACCCCCCTGCTGGTGGTTTCAACCAATCAGGAAGTACCACGTAACAGGAAGTGTATACCCCTTTAAAAGGAACACTTTGTGGAACTATTCAGTTCGGTCCTGGAACTCAGTTCGGTCCTGGAACTCAGTTCATTCCTGAAGTGCCATCCTGGAGTTTAGTGCTGGAACTCAGTTGGAGTCTTAAGTCTTAGGGCTAAGTCTTCAGTCTTAGTCTTCACGAGTCTTAGTCTTTTCCAGTCTTGCTGGAACTTTCGGTCAGAGATGAGACTCTCTTAAGCAGCGGATGGATGGGACCATGTGCCAAGGGGTTCCTCCATTTAGCGGAGTCACATCTCGCATCGCTGTGCCCTCAACCCGAGCAGTAAATGCTCCATTGTTAATGAAGCTTATTCGGTGGAACCGAGTACCTCATGAGTATATGCATTTATTCTGATGACCCAGCTACTTTAACCGGAGACACTGGAAAGGGAGCGTACTAATGGACTTCTGTTCCGGAGTGGAGGGATCCCCCATCTCAGGTAACAAAGTCGCTGCACGTCCTGAAGTGTACCAGAAAGCTGAGCTGGTGGTCGGAGGAAGGGTGCAAAAGTTCTAAGTTTTAACTTTTCTATTCACCAGTAATCTAGATGCCTTTCAGAAGTGAATCAGCCTCAATCAGTAATGTTCTATTGTATTGTTAATAAAGTGTGCCAAGTATTTTAATCAGAAACAGATCGGCAAATAAATGTGTACATGTTTTGATGTTAAATTTTGATTCTGTTAAATAAATGACCGCATTTATTCTGATGGGTCAAAGATAAAATGACGTCTCATGTCACTGATTAAACAATCCACTCATAGTTATCTCGGTCACATGGCAGAAATTTAACTCGAAAAAGAGAAGAATCTGTTTTAATTAAACAATTATTCTTCCAATTAATATTCTTTGTGCTTGAACTAGCTTTAAGAATAATTAATTAGTAGTGTGTACACAGCACAGCTGTCCTGACATACTACACAATGTTATATTGTGCCATATTTAGTTTGATTTCTGCTTTATGACTCATAAAACCATATCAAAGCCCGAGACCAGCCCGGCCCGGCCCACCATTTAATCATATTATAACGGCCTGGCCCGGCACTAATCTGGGTCGGTCCCGGCCGGGTTTTGGGTTCGGGTTAGAAATGCTCTAGTTTCCATAGCCCCTTTCAGTACCAGTTCCAATGGGAAGGGATCAAATTGACGTTACGCGCCTTAACCAGCGCGGTATGAGATAATACCTTGGAAACAGATTTCAATAAATGGGGAGAATTTATTTTAAAGTTTCTGGTAAATTAAAAAGAATACAGATTGTTAAAATGATCAAACTATATATATATATATATATATATATATATATATATGTGTGTGTGTGTGTGTTTGTGTGTATACTATATTACCAAACGTATTTGCTCACCCATCCATATCTGCATGCCTAGGTTCTTCATGTTATACACCTGTGGTCATGTAAGTGACTGGAACACCTGATTCCGATAATATGGAAGGGTGAGCAAATACTTTTGGTAATATAGTACACATATATATACATGTATATGTATATATAT